ACCCCCATTCCCTGTCCCCCTGCGCCACTAGCAGGGAGGAAGGAGAGAAAATCAGGAGTGAAGTTAAGACCAGGATGAAGGGAGGGGTGGGGGGAAGGGGTTTGTAAGATTTGGTTTTATTTCTCATTATCCTACTCTGATTTGATTGGTAATAAATGAAACCAGTTTCCCCAAGTCCAGCCTGTTTTGCCCATGACAGTAATTGGTGAGTGATCTCTCCCTGTCCTTATCTTGACCCACGAGACTTTCATATTTTCCCTCCCCTGCCCAGCTGAGGAGGGCAGTGACAGAGCGGCTTTGGTGGGCACCTGGCATCCAGCCAGGGTCAACCCACCACACAGGGTTAAAGCATAACTTTTATTTTCTTGTCCAGCTCATTTGGCATGCACATTGCTAATCAAAGCATGATTTGACTCCATGTCTAGAAGCAACACTGACCATGCCTTACTTACATACTTAATGTAGCATTTACAATTTTAAAGTTACAATAAAGAATATTCACATGGCAAGATATTGGATTATGGGTCATATTTTACCGAAAAATTTAACAAATGGACACAACAAACATAGTATTACACTAAAAGTTATGAATTATGACAAAAAATTTTAAAATTATGAAAACAAGAGGAAAAAAAAAGGCCTATAATCTACCAAAGCACAGGCAAACCTTATTTAATATTGGCCTATAATAAAATTGTAATATACCAGAATTAACGGTGTTTCCTTTCTGGAAGGAAACCTGCTTGCTTAATAGTGTGAAACAGAGTTTCCAAGCCTAATTTCATGTCAATTATCAGGCAGTTCATAGGGAAGCAAAATTAGCACTGCACATTCTCCTTTAAATGCGAACTAATTTGTAGCTTGGTGGTCCAAGCTGCATCTTTGGATAATCAAACCTGAAATTAAAACACACTCTCAGCTGCTCGACCCTTGTAGTTACACAGCATGCCCTACTACTGAAATGGTCCTATGGTAAAAAACTAATCACTGAATTATATTAAAGTTACAACTGAATGCCTAGATTGCATTCTTGGACCTTGGGTGGTCCTTCCTGTCTGCAGTTCTCTGTACAGAAGTATGACTTTTACAAAATCAAAGCTTTTATAATATTGTTTACTGCCTTCAAACAGTTCCTAGTGCAAAGAGAATCCTTTGTTCTTTTTCTCCTGTCTCAATTCTGTACCATTGGGTGGATGTTTTCTTTTTGTCAGTTCTTCCTATCAGTGGACAATTTCCTCACTACCTGAGGTATCAAGCTGCATTCAGTAAACATCAATGTAACCTAGAGAGGCTGCAACTTACTGCAGTATTTATATTACTTAAATCTCTTTTCTCTATGACACTGGTTTTAGGAGATACTACTTTATATTATTTGGTAGCAAAAAGTTAGTGTGGTGACTAAAAACTTATTGGAGCACAATAATCTTTAAACTAGGTATCACAAATACTCACTGAAGAACAATACAGTAACTTAAACACATCATACCTGTTTGAATTCTGAGTCTTTTCCCACCATGACCTGAAGACAGTAGATAACTGGATCACCCTTCATGGGTTGCAGAACCTCCCACGCAATTTCACACGTGTGATCGTTTATTCTCTCTATCCTTGGTGCTGAAGGAAGAAAACACAAAAGTGACTGCTAGCTCTGCTCTCCCATCACTTGTAAAATTCTGTACTCTATCTGCTATTTTGTCTCAGAGAAACAAAAGGTTCAGATTCAAATGTATTTTTCCTATAATGTTTTCTGGAACAACAACTAACAATGCACACAGGTCTCTATTGCTAGTTCAGGTATCATCCAAGAGAAAGCAAGTAACATTTGGTGACTACAAGCGTGTATCATATGCAAAAAAAAAAAGCTGCTATGCTTCAAATTATTCTAAACATGCTAGGAAGAATTTGCATCTCAAATTACTGTAACAGCCTGGTCACTCCCTCCTGGTAAGCAAGGATTCTAAATACAAACCTTATGTCAAAGAACGCATAAACCCCAAGTCTCTCATTTTTAGAGCGAATATTTTAGGTTTTAGACAATTACATGAAAGGAGCATTCCCTTAGTATCCCCACCCACACTTGGAAAAGGGCTTAGCATTCTAAATACCCCAAATACAACACAATACCAAATCCAACTTGCCATCCCCCCATTCCCCAAATGAAAAAAGAAGTACCTTTACCTTTCAAGGCAGCTGGAACAGATTTGGGAGTAGTGAAAACATATTCTTGAGAAAGGGGACCTTCACCAGCTTCATTACATGCCTGAATACAAAATTTGTATGATGTTGACTCACTGAGTCTTTGTACTTTGTATGTATGACACGGTCCTCTGTATAAGCATACAAACCTGAAAATGGAAAGAGTAGCTTATTTTAAACACAGAAAAGGACTTCCGAAGTAGCCACAGTACTGTCTTGAAATGTACTCCCACAATTTTCCAGAATTTAATGAGAAGCCCAGAAATATTTATTTCAGAGGTAAACAGTGTTCTGGCATTACCATAAAACATTGTTTTCCAGAGCCAAGTTTTTCTTTCTCATATCTTTGAAACAAAAATCTCTTTTACACAAAGAGTACTACAGATTGTCTCTTGGCAAAAATGATCCTAAGCATTTTCACAAACCCTTCTGCACTTGAAACAATGGGAAAGTATAGCAGTTCTCTCTCTCAAAGAGCTGCACACACTGCTGCTTTTTTTTTTTTGGTCATCTGCTCCCCCAACATATTTGGCTTTTCAAAATTGGGTAACTAGATTTTAGCTTTTTGCTCCTTTGCAACTCTCGGTTACTACTCCTAAGAAAGGGTCATGGATCCAACTGCTCTTGTACATTATTGTCAGAGCTGGGCGACTGATGAAGCTCACTCAGATCTGCACAGGAGGCCACAGTCACACTTGTAGCGCAGACAGAGTCCCATTCTGACAGCTTTGTAGATCGGCCACTCTCCTTCATGTTATAATTCTTACACAGACTGATCTTGGCAGCTCTCACTTGATTTTCAATTTTGGTATCCCCAGGACACAGCACAAGTTTATCTCTTTCCGCAGGGGTTTTCATCTACTTCAACTTGTTCTTTTCTTCTAAATTTAAAACAGATGGTACTTGCACATAACCTAGTCTTTGGAAATGGCAATGAATTTCTTTCCAGTTAAGAGTCGAATTTCTTTTCCTCCTTACAGCAGAGCAATTTCACCTAGCAGATTTATTTTGTCTCACTGTCTAGCTAAAGCTACTCAAGAGATTCAGACTCAGTACAAACTGTAGCAGTGCTGTTCATTTTATCATTTAGGCAAGGTAGTTGCTGTACCGTCCCAGCTTGCATTCCGATTTAACATGAGAGAAAGGATCCCTTGAAATACTAATTTGTACTACATGAGTTTATTTTCCACTAAAAGTAACTGCATATAAAGACAACAGAGAGTAAAGAATTCACCCCTTCTAATATTAAGTATATAAAATCCACATCACTGATTAGACTTGATACTTTGACAAAATACTTAACCAAACGTGAGAGACAGAAAAGCATGCTGGTATGAAACATTTCATTAAACTCTCCATATTGAACTGTAAATAAAAAACTATAAAGGTTTTAATCTTGTCCTGCCCAGCACGGAACACTAGAGCCCTTCTTGCCTTGCCAGATGAGACGACCTCCTATGTCTGTTGTAAATTCAGCAAAGCATACGGAATTTTGCCCTTTGCTGCCATCTCCCAAGCATCAGACCACAGCGATACACAGCAGATTAAAGCGATGCCAAAACCAACCTTCCGTTCTTATCCTCCATTTGAAGGTGGTACTGAATGGAGTCAGTTAATGCTTTTGCAGTTGCCTCTCCCCACTTCAGCTTGAGAGTCTGAGAACTGTATGCAGCACATTCCAGGCGAGGTGGATCCGGGGGGAGAGGCTTTGTTTTCAGTTTTATGGTGTGGCTAAAAGGACCCGCTCCGAGACTGTTTAGGGCTTGAATTCGTACTCTAGTATTTGTAAAAAGAGAGAATAAATTAACTTTAAATTAGATTCTAAAAAATAACTGGTCATTTCCACCATTCACATTCAAGAGCGAATAATTGTACCAAATAGATGGTACTTTCTACAGTGAAGACTTTTATCAATACTAAGCTTTGATAGACTCTCATGAATATGCAGGACTGTCACTTTCCTTGCCACATTTTAAGGAGCTAGACTGATTCAAAATAAAACTGTTAGCATATCTGCATCATTCACATTAGTGAAAAGATGCAAAAGCTCTATCAGCTGCTTCTGGAGTGGCTCATCCTCCTGACTCCACAGGCCTCGTACCAAAATTTTTGATAGCCACATTAGAGTGATGAGGGAAGGTAAAAAAAAAAACACCCACCCCCAAAAGAGGTGAATCCCTATCTTTGGTTATTATATCAGGTAAGTTCAAGGATGACTACAGGAAAGCTTTACAGGCTTTTTGGAACAGATCTGATTCATGTGAAAATAAAGTGACGGTGCCCAGCAACCTCTCTTGCCATTTTCACTGGTAATACATCTCTGGGTGCCTGCAAACACAAACCATCTTGGGTCTGCTTGGAAAGGGAGAGGGGAAAACTACAAGTCGTCAAAGGACGCATGGTTGAGGGGTTTGTAGAACTCGAAATTCAGGGAATTTTTTTTTTGGGGGGTACTCCATGGAAAACAATGCTGGCATTAGATTTACAAGTAAGAATTAAAAGAAGTAGCCAAGAAATTTATTTCTAAAAAGGAAAAAGCAGAAAACAGAGAAATTTGAGGCTTTTTACATATCTCACAGGTAGCCATAGAGAGCAAAGTGTGTCTAATCTCATTTTGCAGACTAACATTTTCTTGTCTAAAATAGTATCTAGGTAACTGGAAAAAAAGTAATCACAATAATTAAATGCTGAAACAATCAACCACACAATTTCAAAATATTGAAACACAAATGTGTGTGCAGGCTTATGAATAAGTATTTCTCCTTCACTACAGTAATATTTAATATTATGATAATTTATTATAGCATAGAACTAAGGTTAATATATGCAATTTTTTATTTGCACAAAGAGTTGACAGCATATTCTATAAAACTACTTTTGTGGGTAGAAATACAGAAGTATCTCTGCAATAGAAGCTTCTCTTTTTTTCATTTTGTGGACACGGAGAGCACTGGCTCTTCAAATTGCCAGCATTATTGTTAAATACCTATAAGGCACACAGAAACACTGTAGTCTTACATACAGCATTAAAAAAGTAAAACCAAATCTTTTAGGATTCAGAAAACTGCATAGCCAGTTAATATCCTAACTATACTGAAATCAGTGTGGGCTTAAATTCTGACTTCAGTGGGACTGACATTCTCCTTTAACACTGAGGACATGTTTTTGTAACAGGAATGCACAGTGCCTTCAGGCAGAATTACTGATTTTTACATTTTTCAGTAACCCTTAGGTCAAATGTAAGGGATTATTTTAGCAATTAAATTCTTCAAGATAGATTTAAAATTGACTGATAGACTTTCAAACCAATATTCTTCATGCTGACTGCCACCCTAATACTTGCTATTTCTGCAGAAAAAGCATTGCAAGTTGTGATGAGCTGTCATTAGATCAGACAATCCAGTCAATAAAGACTGGAGATGGTTCTTCCTTGAATGGATTTTACCTTGTCGAAGAGATTAAAGGCCATCTATCTATGAAGCAACCAGGCCAAAAACCTGTTATGAATCTGAATCTGTAATCTGAATTCCGTTAAACTGACACATTAACCAGACAGATACAACAATACCACAATAAACAAACGAACACAGATTTTTCTTGAAAGAAAATAAAACCAGTGTAGCTCATCTATTTATGATGATCATCATTACAAAGCTTCCTTTTGTTCCCTGGCTATGTACTAATGCTTCTCAGAGTAATGCAGAGAATAAAAAAATACAAGGAAACAAAGAATCTGCTCATGTGGAAGAAACAGCAGGCTGTCAAGTGGCTGTGCATGGCATACCTGTAGGTAGTATCTGGCTGTAAGCCATCTATAAAATAGGTCAGAACCTTCCCAACAGTTATTGGCTGCTTATCTCCAAAGTCTATGCTGTAGCCAAGGATTTCAGATCCATGGTCACAAGGTTTTTCCCAGCTTATAGCAAGGCATGTGGAAGGAGAATAGTGTGGACTTTCCACTTCGTGTTCACTTAGTCCCCGAAGACAAGTCACAACTGCAGGTACAGAGGCTGGAGTCATACATGCCACTACTTCACTGAAAGGGCCTGCACCTGCAACATTCACTGCCTGCAAATGCAAAGTAGACCATGTTTTTATGGCAGGGTCAATTCCCATTTCCAGATTTCACTAACAATAGTTTTACATCTTTACCTGAACCCTGCAATAGTATATAGTGGCAGGCAAAAGCCCTTTCATTTCACAGTTGAGCCCAGGCCCACAATAGGAGATCTGCATGCATCCTTCCACACCGCCCCACTCCAGTCGATACTCCGTGACGTCAGCTCCGTTACTCACTGGAACCTTTAAAATGGATATAAATAGTTAGAAGTTAAATTCACTGACTGAAGAAAAAAATCAAAGAAACTCACCACATCTATATTGTTTTTTTTTCACAGGAACGTTACCCTCCCATTTCTTTGCTGATTTTTAATTTAGTACAATACAAATAAATCAGAATGCATTACTCGCCTTGGGCCATCTATACTTTAAAAACAATTTGCTGTTGCAGAGACTACTCTATACAAAGTAACTGTGATTTCAGTTGCTTAATACAGAGATCATTTAGCATACGGCATTTGGCTTGGGAGCCTGAACAGTCAATCGGAAGGGAGGGTCTTACGTGGGTGATTTAGGGTACTACAGTTTTCACTGCCTGGGTCTATAGTGCAGGGATGACAATATGCAAAAGCACACTGGTGCTAGTGTCTTCACCTTACAGATTAAAGGACTCCTCCTTTGGAGCACATCATGGCTCTTGTGCATGGAAACTGGGCTGAGAGCACAATGGGAAGCAGAACATTGTGCACTCTGTCTTTTCCCAAAACAGAGTTGTGAAGCAAGCGGGAGAGAAACCTAGGCCACAACACAGACCTGGACTGAAATGCCTACTCGAGCAGCCTGTTTTTCCTCACTACCTGCCCTAGGAATCCAAACTTAGCCTCCCAGTTCTGGGAGTTGAATGGTTTTAATACTCCTTAGAAATAATAATTTCAAGTACAGTTAAAATCACATGTACCAGTGCCAGACTAAGATACAGGACTACAGAAACATATCAGCAGTCAATGAAATAATAAAGAAAAAGCCAACCAAAAAAGCCAATGCCCCTTCCGCCCCCTTCCCCCATCAACAAAAAATTTCTTAGATCATGAAGAAAACAGAAGAAAAATGCTGCTGCTGTTTTGGATTAAATATTCCAAGACAACAATCACACCCAGGTGCAGACGATAATTGCTCCAAAGCATGCTTTTTTCTTTATCCTTCCCTTGAAAGAAAAGTATTTGCTACTTTCAGCATTAGGCTATATGAAGATAAGTGACTGAATACAAACAGCATTTCGAAGGATAACATTTGATGCTCCTGAGCTGTGACTCATAAAGACTCCCTTTCCCTTCTCTTATTTACAATGAGGTATGTTTGGTGAGAGAACGAATGCAGCTGTGGATGGCTGTGCAACTGCCAGTGAAGATGCAGTCATTTCTCAATGTTACTGCTGTTGCTGCTGCAGATCTAACGGAGTTCACTTTAACAGAAGTAGGGGAATCCAAGCCAAGAAGTGCAGGGATGACAACAAATTGGGGGGAAGCATTTGATATGCTTAAGGGAATGGCTACCAGAAGAATTTCAACAAGCAGGATCTGATACAAACTTCAGAGAGCTCAATCAAGTCAAAGGGAAACACAAAGTCCTGGGCCTGGGATAGAACACTACAGGCTGAGGAGCAACTTTACTGTGGAGCACCTGTGTGTCCCAGTGAGAAAGCTGAATGTGAGTCAGCAATGTGTGTCTGATGAAAGCAAACTACATACTGGCCATATTAGCAAAAGAGCTGCAAGAAGGCTAAAAGGAGTAAGGATTCCCCTCTACGCTGCACTTGTGAGGCTGCATCTCCAGTACTGTGTCCTGTCTTGGGCTCCTCAATACAAGACAGACACTGATGTAATGGAGCAAGTCCAGTGAAGTACCTCGAAGGAGGAGTGCAACACACAACAACAAAGTAAGGCTTATTTGATATAAAGATGATAACGCTAAGGGAAGATCTTAATGCTGCTTTAAATTACTTACTGGGAGGGTACAAAGAAGATGATGTCAAACTCTTCTTGGAGGTGGCACAGTGGCAAGACAAGAGGTAAGAGTCATGACTTGCACTAAAGGATATTTTGACTAGACTTAAAGGAAAAAAATTCTACAGCATGAGATTGTCTGCCCGGAGACAGCTTTACCAAGCTGCAGAACCTTCATCCTTGGAGACTGGCAAAACATGATCGGACAAGACCCTGAGAAACTTGACCTAAATTTCAAGTTAGCTCTGCTTTGAACAGAAGGTTGAACTAAACGACTCCTAGAGGTCCACTCGTACCTTAATTACTCCATGATTCTATAAAGCAGACATCCAACACTGGTCAAATTATACTACCTGAACATTGCAAAAGATTTCTTCAAAAGGCTTTGCCTTGTAGATATTTAAGGAGAGCTCCTCTGATATACCCAGTAGAAAGCATGAATTCTATCTTCCAGGTAAAATAGTTTAATCTTTTTTTTCTATACAGTTCTGTAACTCAGATACTTCACTCCATTTCAAGCCACTGAAAAGCTGTGTTTAAACAGTATTCCCAGATGTTCCTTTTCATAACCTTAATTTATATCTATTGCTTTTTTAAAAATCAGGTATCTAAATACTATGGGTTTATATGAAGTCTGTGAGGCTGTTGCTACATTATTAGAACCACAGAATGGTTTGGTTGGAAGGGACCTTAAAAAATCACCTCTTTCCAACCCCCTGCCATGGGCAGGGACACCTTCCACTAGACCAGGCTGCTCAAAGCCCCATCCAACCTGGCCGTGAATACCTCCAGGGATGGGGCATCCACAACTTTGCTGGGCAACCTGTGCCAGGGTCTCACCACCCTCAACGTAAAAAATTCCATTTACATCTTCCCTCTTTCAGTTTAAAGCCA